GTCCAAATAGACAATAATTATATGAACATACCATCGTCACAAATTTTAGTGATACAGCAGTTAAACTGGAAATGTTCCTAAATATAAGAATCTCATAGGCCATATATAAATGAAGCGCGTGAAATGGGGTAGGTTTATTCTGGTTTTGGTTTTATTGCAACTGCTGCTGCTGCTGCTGCTGCTGTCAATGCAACATTACTTCAAAATTATCGTTAAAATATGCAATATTGATTATTAATTCTGAATGATTATTTATATTTTAATGTTACGATGAAGAAATTCGTAATTTTAGATGAAAGTCTTATTCTTACAGTAATGTTAATTGTATTTCGATTCGTATTTGGAGAGCAGGATGTTTGTCTTTCAAAAAGATTTTTAAAACTGAATACAATAAGATGGCACATAACATAAAATCATATTAGGTCCCACAGACAAAATTATGACTAAGAAAGGTACTAATAAATACATCTACCGAGAGATAACATAGATACCATAAAGAAAAACACACAAACTTTAATTGACGCAACTAAGGAGGTTGGTCTAGAAGTAAACACAGAGAAAACTAATGCAGGGCAAACTCATGACTAACTAACTCGTGATGGCCGCGCCATAGCTCAAGCGGTTGTTCGCTGACTTCCCACTGCGGCGGTCCGGGTTAGATTCCGGGTCTGGTTAAGTGGGATTTGTGGTGGACAAAGTGGCGCTGGGGCAGGTTTTCTCCGAGCACTTCTGTTTCCCCTGTCAATCTTCATTCCACCAACTGCTCCACAATCACCCTCACCTATCATCTGGGGCTGGTACAATAGGCCAGAAGTGGCCGCAGAACAAGGGACTTAGTCCCACACCACTAGCAATACAAAAAAAAAACAGAGAAAACTAATGCAGGGCAAACTCATGACTAACTCATGATAACTAACAAATGTTCTGAAAATGTGGCACAGTTCAGATATTTGGGAACGATAATAACAAATCAAAACTTGATTCAGGGTGAAATTAAGAGGAGACTGAATTCGGGTAATGCTTGCTACCATTAATTCCACGACTACTCGTCTTCTCGTCTGCTGTCTAAAAACATAAAGATTGGAATTTTGCCTGTTGTTCTGTATGGGTGTGAAACATGGTCTCTGACATTAAGGGAGGAACATAGACTGAGGGTGTTTGAGAACAGGGTGTTGAGGAGAATATTTGGACCGAAGAGACATGAAGTGACAGGAGGTTGGAGATAGTTATGGAAGTTACGATTATGATAACTGCAGATTACATAGGGCTCATTCTCTTTCAGAGGCCGCCATTGTGATTATTAAAATTAAAATTTTTTATCTGTGGTATTGTACACAACAGCGCCATCTGTGTCTGTGTGATATGATGTACGTTTTTTTTTCAGTCGAAAGAATTTTGGGATTTTGTCTTTGCCGTTAATAACTTTTGTAAAGGAGTTGTTTAAAAGTTGAAGATGTGGTTATCTTGTAAAATAATTAACCGCTTGGCTACATTTTTAGACTCGCAACTGAGATTCATGGTTTAATACTAGAGTTGTAATTATATAGTGAGTTCCATTTGGAAGATAATTCTGCAGTCGAAACCACGCTCGTCCCCCCTACCATGGATTTCGTGGTAGAGAGGGGTTTGAAGCTTTTGTAGTTGTTCAATTGCGAAACAGAGCACGGTTCCATCTCTCTCACTTAAAATTTACTTTAAAGGTAGACAGAGAACTTCATATTTATGAAAGACCATGAATATTAAATTGCAGTTAAATAGAGTTTCTCAATTCTGTAAGGTTGCCTGGTCAGGGTGCAAAATATCCCCCTCAAAATTGTGTTATACTAACAGTAAACATAACGGATATTTAAGATTTGAGGTTTTCACGGCGGTGATTATGAAGAAAGCAGTCTTCTGGGATATGGCATGTGTACATGTGGTGTTAACCGACGTTTCGGAGGAACGTATCGCCTCCATTTTATTTCCAACACCAGTCTTCTTGCGAATTTTCTTATTTTTCCTTCTAACCTGAAGATGGAGGCAATACGTCCCTCCGAAACGTCGGTTAACACCACATCTACACGGTGCCACATCCCAGAAGACGGCTCTCTTCATAAAGGTTATAGTTTCAGATTTTAGATTTAAATCTGTTTAAGCATCTTCATATTTAAAATTATTGTATTGTAGCGACATACTCTGTGTATGAATAATTTATTATTTATTTCAGCCACCACGATTTATACGTATATGTGCACTACATAATGTAATTATACATATAATGTGTGCTGACTGAAATAATGACTTATCCTTATATTTCATTAAGCCATCAGCTGCAGGGCTAATCAGACGCTTTAATTAGTACAATTTTTAATTCCGTTGTTGCTTATAAGAATCTAAAATACTGAAACAATAAAATATATTCAGAATTACTGGGGTTCTGGAATTTGTCCATTGTACGATATTCTAAAACCTCGAGAACACAACGTTTCGGAAACTGAACTCTTTTCGCCCTTACGTGATAGGAGGAGGAGGCTAGAAAGAGGTAAAGGTCCAGTGATTGAAGTTAGCTCTTTCTAAGGGACCCAACAGAGTGTCTCACATATCACCTGAGGACGGAAACAGATCCAGTTTCTGAAACGCCGTGATCTCAGTCTTTTAAGAATACCGAACGATGAACAAAGTCCAAAACCCCAGTAATATCGGGGATTATACAACATCGTCAGAACCCTTTAAAATATAATGAAATACATGTACATTTATACCTGACTGTAATATTCGGTTAAGGCCCTCTTTCTTATATTTCAATTTATAATTAATTAAATAATTTTCCTGGGGAGTAAAGCGCGGCCGGTGCGTAAGGCTGACAACCTTACCGCCATCTGTGAGCCGACTGTTTAGATAATGCGGGAGCCTCAACGTCTCACAACCCTATGGGCCTTCATGGCCTGGTAGAGGGATAGCTTTACTTTTCTTTTTACTTTTTAGATTCATAAAACGCCTCTGCGTCCTGCTGCGTTACCCTCCGATTACTCGTGTCTTTGCATTAGCCGAGAGAGAACTGCAGTCGCTCTGATCATGAATTCTTTATGTTTAAATCGTTACGGTCTGTTGCTACGAATTGCCTTATAGTCTTGGTCTGGGCATCGCTGCTTTAGTCGACTTAAGACGCGTCCTTTTCTGTGCTTTTCAGCAGCGACTTGAAGCACAGAGCAAATGATGCTCAAGATGGTTCAAGTTTGTATAGCAACAGGCGTGACCAGAGTTGTTTGAACGGCTGTTGTACTGCGATGTGGAAAGCAAATGGAAAAACTACCACATTATCACTTTTCCTGGATAGTCTCTTTCCAAAAACAGAAGATCGCATTAAGTGGAGGAACTGTTTTGAAAGAGACTGTGGACCTGTCATCTGAGAGATTACTGATGAATGAAATGAAAGACAACTTTGAAGGCGGCTTCTTTCCTGTCTTTCCGAAAGATTTTTCAGATTTTGTTGGTCTCAGCTTGTCTCTTCAACTATATTTGTAATTTTCAGTATTTCAAAGGGGGAATGCGGTAGTATAGTTGGTTAAAGCACTATGTTATAAGCAGGAAGGTGGCGGGTTCGATTATCGATGAGGTAACTGGATATTTAAATTGACCTAATTCTTCCAGCAGCACTGTGGACCTAGGTTCGACCAATCTCTAACAGAAATGAGTACTAGGAATATTTCTGGGGGTAAAGGGAGGCTGGCGCTTAAGGCTGACAACTTCACCGCCATCTGTGAGCCGAATTTCTAGAAAATGTGGATATCAATGTCTCACAACCCTATGGGCCTCCACGGCCTGTTGCTGGGATAGTTGTACTTTTTAATATTTCAGTGATGTCAGGATTACTCGGTAACCACATCCATCGAAACTCGAGAGAAGTTTCAAAGAGCGTATTTGGACTACTTATAATTTTTATTATTCGTTTCGGTTTCAAATCCAGTTGCCACTAATACAATTAATTAGTTTAATTTCGTATTATGTAGAGGTAATTTTATATAAATTGCCATTCTGCGCCAATATTCAATTATAAAGTTTATTTTATGTTACTAGGGCACGCAGTAGCGTAGTTGGTTGAGGCACTACAAGCCGTAAGATCGCGGGATCAAATCATTATGTGGATTTTTTTTACCTAATCCCTGGTGCCGCACCATATCCCTGGGGTTATCTCAGCCTCTAACATAAATGAGTACCAGGAATATTGCTGGGGGTAAAGGGCGGACAGCGCGTAGGGCTGACAACCTCACGGCCATCTGTGAGCCGATTGTCTAGATAATGTGGAACCCTCAACATCTCCCAACCCTATGGACCTTCACGGCATGTTACAGGGATACTTTTACTTTTTATTTACTTCTATTTTATGGTACTTATATAATTCTGTGTCTATAGCTTTCTTAAGTTCTAAAATAATATTTCTTAAGTAAGTGAAATCAGATACGTATTCCATTGCTATTCCGTCTATTTGTACTTCTACTTTTTGAACACTACTTCCAGAAATTCTCGTTTCTTTTTAATTTTTGTAATATGAAAGTTTTCATCTGACATTTAAAATTCCAAATGAATAATTCTTAAAATATATTTCATGACGTAATTTTGAAGTAGTTAATTATAATAAATAATCAATCATTAATGAGTCCAATTTCTCGGGTAGAAATTCGAATTAATTTGCACTGAAAGAATGAATATTAAGTTAGGAATTCATAAACCTCTTTACAGTTTTATTAACATGTCGAATTACTGAATTTTTGGTATAAATGTACCGGAAATTTAGATATAATAAATCAGGCTTACACGATAAAATCAAAAGTGAAACTTAGGCCAGATATAAATTAGACATGCATGGGCTCAGCATCAGATATCTTCACACTGATAGCGGCAGTAGAATTTCAACCACTGGTTTCACCAAAATTAAAATATTAATTCTTTATGTTAAGCATATATGTAATTTTGGTACTTTCAACATATACATACTGAGAGAGAAACTCAAAGAAACTTACTCATTGCTCATTCGGTACAACGAAGGGATACGGACTGGAGAACAGGTGTTCGATTCCCGGCAGGGATAAGATTCTTCTTTTCTCCGTAACGTCCAGATCGACGATGAAACCCACCACGCCTCCTATCGAATGGGTACCGGGGACTGTTTCCACGGGGATAAAGCGGCAGGGGCGTGAAACTAATCACTCACCTCCATCTAGTATAAAGGTAAACAATGGTATAGCTATCTCCACTCCCCCACACGTCTTCATGCGTGGTGCTTAATTAATTAAGCACTAGAGAATCTTTACATTTTTTACGTTACAAAACTTATTGCATCGATATTATTAAATTACACAAACGTTCTATAACTTGTGAATGATTTTAAAACTTTTTGTAGTTACACGAACACAATATTATCGGAAGGCTGGAAGACGGGTTCCCATTTAACGTACTTTTAGATTAATTCATAAAAAATAACAATTTATGTATCGCTATCTCACCTCTTGTAACTTTAAAATTTATCAGTTATTTTGGATTTTCTTCATTTTAAGTACAGTCCACCCAATTGCCAACTGCACTGAGGCTTCTCGATGTGCGTGGCCCATAACGCAGTCTCGCGGTTCTACAAGCCAAGTGCTAAACTCTGGTGTCAGCCCAGGAACAGGAGATTCTCCATGGAGTATGACGTATGTAGGCTGTTGCTTTTTGTGAGGAGGTTCTCTTGCGAAGGCTTCCTGGCCGCATGCAAACTGTGCAGCGACAGCATGGAGGCTGTTCTATCGAAGCTGCCTGGCAGAGAATTCACGTACTCCTGAACACTGCTGTATGAAGATACTTGTCTACGTAAGCTGGAACCATCCAACGGAAGTTTTTGGTCGTGAATGTCGCAGTCTCCATCCTCGGCGAGAACCACAGAGTCAAGCCTGCCAATACATGAAAAAGAAAATTACCTTTTAAAAACAGTTCCGTCGCAGACAAAATAAAGGCTCATGTTCTGTGATTTAATAACTAACACATTTCTTATATTTGTCATCTGGGAGTAGATCATGTCACTGCCTGTTCTGGTTCCAATCTAACAATAAACTAATTGTAAAATTTGAGGTTTTTACGGCGGTGAGTATGGAGAATGCCGTCTCCTGGGATGTAGAATATCTACAGATATCTGCTCACACTGTTTCATCGCTAGCTGATTTCTTATACCCTGAAGATGGAGGCGATAAATTCCTCCGAAACGTCGGTTTACAAAATATCTACACGGCGACAAATCTATAAGACAACATTATTAAAGAAAGTACTTGCTTTTACAATCAATAATAATAATATTTTCTGAACATTGCTATAAGTAACTTAGAATTTCTGTATTATAGCTGAGAAGCCCTAGGATCCAGTATCGGATCTGTTACCTGCTATCCTCACTGAAAATTTTCGTGCATTTCCTCAGTTCTCCAGTGTTTCAAGTTAGATCATGGCCAGAGATTCGTTTCATATCCTGTTCAATACATTTACAGATAATCCTATCATTTGACACTAAATATTCTGAGATACCGATTAACCAACTCCATGAAACAGAGCCATTATAAAGAATCTGGCTGTTTCTCAGCCATTAAACAAACCCCAAAAATGACATGGAACCAGAAAGTTTAGAGCCGTGTTCACATGAGCCCGTCACTTGCCTCTATTTTGAGTCAAATAAATCTAGTTCACATATTACCTTCCTTTTTCTTTACAATACTTTTTAACACGCTCCACCATATGCACCTGGATATGCACGTCTGTATGGATAATATTTTTCGAGTAGTACAAATTACAACTTTGATTTATCCGACCTCGTCATGAAATAAATCATAAATAATGAAACAAGAAATATGTGTAATTTTTCAGGATAGTTCTTGAATTTCACTGCACACCTTGCACTGGGACACAACACATATCACATTCGAAATGCAAAACATTATGCAGAGTAAGATCCAAAAGTCTGTGACGATGGTATATCAATACAAGTACTGTGCTTCTGGACATTATCCATTGCCCTGTTTTTATATAAGAAACACAACGTTTCGGATAACGGATGCTGTCTTCGTCTTCAGGTGGAACCTACTCAGTTGGACCCAATCAATATCTATGTTGGTACCATGCAGTGAATTTGTTTCTTTAGTGATGGCTTTTATTAAGATAATATTCTGATTTTGACAACAGCAGCCGTGAAACAGTGTAAGGATACAGGTGATAGGCCTCATAGGTGTGGAGTATTTTAACGTTTTTAATGATTTTCTTAACTCTCGCAGATGACTTATGCTGTGCTTGGTTTATATATCCAGTCTTGTATTTGTGCTGGTGTCCAGAGATAGGACTAGCTATGTAGACTGGCTCTAATTAAGCAGGTTCAACCTGAAGGCGGAGACAGAATCCTGTCACCGAAATGTTTTGTTTTAAATAAAAACCGGACGAAGGATGATGTCGAGAAACATAATAATTTTACTGTTCAGAGTCCCATAAACCTTACTAAAGAATGTATAAATCCATTGACTGAAATGAACAGCGTCGCGTGCCCTCTACACAGGCGTATACTGTTTTGGGCTTCGTTATTCTATCTTCTATGTGATGACACAGAGTCCCAGGGCGCCTGTCGTGTTCCATAGCCTCACTTCTTAGATCTTCAGAAGAAATCCTCGTTTTAGCAAAGAAGTATCTTGCTTCTCAAAGAAATATATTTCCCCTTTGAGATACAATTCCATTGCTTCACAAAAATCTGCAGGGATTTAAATATTCAAGAGCTTAGACAAATGTTTTATTTGTTTATAATTAAAATCTGTCCTTGTTTCCCTTAACGACGCTTCAGCAATTAATGCTCTGTCAGTTCTGTGACCCGAGCGGTTGAAATATTTGTAAATTATGAACTGAAATCTACATAAAAAGGACCGCCGTGGAATACATTCAAGCATGGTTTTTCAAATTGTAGGTCGCGACTGCGCATGGTCGTGACCTATTCTAAGTGGGTTGCCGAATTCGCAAGAATTATTTCAACTATACTCGTATTCATGCAGAATCTGGCAAGTCAGTGAAATCGGTAAGATTTGGAATGGGTTCTTTCGGAATATGAACCTGTGACCGGAGAAATATTACACGAAGTCTTTGTGATTGTACAGGAACATTTTATAACTTACTGTAGGTGCAGTGAGACTGTGAAGCTATTTATGTTTCTGCCGTTACCGTACAATCAGATATGGACCTGCAACAAATTCCGTGACCTGTAGTCTGCAAGCGAACTATACCGACCGAGCGACCGCCGCTTGTGGCCAAGTTAGTACCAACTTTAGCGGACAGAGGGTGTCACGTGGTCAGCGCAACGGAACCCCAAGGCCTTCAACATCGGGTTTCTAGATCGGAGATCCTGTTTCATTGAAACAGCTCCTCAGTTATCCTCACGAGACTGAGGGGACCCCGTTTTAGACCCACTACTTCTCAGAAAATCTGGTAGCGCCGGGAATACACCCAGGACGTCTGGATCTGTAGCCAGGAACTCTGACCGTTAGACCACAGAGGCGGTCAAAGTATACCTATACTTTCTCTGTTATTTGTTCGAGTTTGCACGACTTAAAGCAGATCGAAACAGAAAATGTATTCCTTATGTACTGTGTGTGATGTCACTGTGAGAATCTTCTGTGCTGAATACAGACTGCAAATGACTCACTGTAAGGACCGTAATGATAATGTATTACTGACACACGCTTACGTTTGGGCACTAGAAGTGTTACGATCCAGTATGCAGTGAACTGTGTTAAGACATTAAAGATTAAGTTGACGTGCCAGATCGAAGCAAGGAAACTTTCCATCCAGAGCAAAAGTTTTCATATAAAATCTGGATCCCTTTCCATGAATGCGCATATTAAAGTTATTACGAAAACATCTGCTTGACGGATAAGAAAAAACTCATAATCACAACAAATGAGTCTTGGTTTATTTCACGACATTTTCATACTATGCAAGTTACGTACGTAGCGTCGAATGACAGAATGATTTGTGAATGATGAACTCAAATCGGTGTGATCGTGGCCTTTAAAGTAATATCCCGAAATTGGCTTGGAGACTGTGAATATTGTCATGCTATTGAGTGTGAATATAGACGGGGTTTTTTGGTAATCGAATTTACTGGACACTTTATCACACAACTCGTGACTACACTCCACAAATCACTATCTCACACAGAGCAGTGTACTCAGTCACGGTCTTCACTGCGTTGTTTGGTAGCGGCTTCCAACAGCGGGTGTTTCTCTGATTCTGGGATCAAGTCCTTGCAGGCTGGCGGCCACCTCATGCCAATTTCTTCCTCTTTTAACTGTCGTCTCAGGGCACTATCGTAGTCAAGTCAAAGTTACTTTACGATTGGCCGTTAACGGCCAATCAGTTCGTCTTGGCGTCAAGCCAGAGACACTTTTTTTCAACTGAACTCTTACGGTAATAGTCCTTATGTAGCATCCTCTCTGACGAGAAGGTGGGGTTGTCTCTTATGAACATGTTTGGCCTTTAGTCAAGTGTACGTATCGCACATATAGCGTGTTACGGACAATTATTCCTTGTGCACTATATACAAGTCTGTCGGTAAAGGCTTTGCAAAACTATTCATGCCTGTTTTACGCATCCCATAATGGCAGCTGGTAATCTTTATATAGCCTCGGCATGGACCGCACAGAAAACACCGCTTCCATTATTGCGTGCGTATCTGTTGAGGTGATCACGTGACATGCCACAATATTTACTTATTTGTCAGTAGTTCGGACTATGAATAACATAGAGGAAACGACGTTCATTGAAACAGCCGTTGTTTAATCTGGGGTAATATCCGGGCATCTTCCTGGAGGGATTGAGGAAAACAAGAGCATTTCAGTCAGGACAGCCACTCTCCATGACGATAGTGAACCAGGGACCTTCTGAATACGAAGCCGGAATAGCAAGGAAGCAAACCACAGCAGTTCTCAGTGCTTAATTAGTTATGCACTGGGTCAACTTTACATTTACGCATTCTGCACATACCTCGCTAAATATTTATCGGGGAGAAACATGTTTCGAATGAGAGGCGCAGAACGTAACGAGAGGTGTTTTATGTCCACTCTGATATCTCCTTAGTTCTTACAGTTTTCGAGATAAGTACATAATGGAGATGTTATGAGAACACGTTCAACGCTACATGATTAAGAAACCGACCATGGCTTCCTGAATGAAACCGAATTTAAAATTACATTCGAGTTATCATTCTGATGTAGCTTCATCCTATTATAATATTACCATGAAGCAGGAGAGGAAATGGTTCGCAGATACAGTTGGCTATCCTGATCAATAAGAGAGCCCCGAGGGGATAAGCAGTACATATTACAATGGAATTTTTACAATAGGAATTTGTTCCTACATGCGACGCTGTTGGAAACCACGGCTACAATGTCTTCAGGCAACTGAAATAGCTCCTTCAAAATGAAGTGGCCTGGCGTCTACACGCATTTCCAGCCATGCCTTGAAGCGCATTTAAACAAATTATTTATATAACAGTCTAGTGTGTAGAGCCGCTGCTATGCAACGACCGCGAGACTGGCGGATACACCAGGGTCCTTTCTGTGCAACGGCTCGGTAAACACGTTCCCGCGGAACTGCTGGACTACGACAGTGGAAAATCTGTTTTCTACGTGGTCCGTGCTGAGAGGTTATAAGCGGGACAAAGTTAGAGCTTAGTTACTTCTGTACGGTAGTCTGTGAAGAGAAGACTTGAGCCCGGAGCTAGAGGAATAGCCGTTGTTGGAGCCGTTACCAGGAAACGTCTACTAACAGGCTGAGAACACTAGACCCACTCTTCTAGTGAACTGCGTAGATGGAAATAACGATAGTGTTGAGAACACTGTACTGGATGCTCTAGTGAACTGTAAAGTGCGGAAGTAGTGGTAGTGTTATAGTTATTTGTAGATATGACCTGTAAGTGGTCAATAAATCGAGTCACTAATCCAAACCCTGTCTACAGTCACTCATAAACGTGAAACTATGTTTAATATGCCTCTTGTCACCACGACGTGGCGTGTCCTAAGGTTGCGAATGGAGGAGATGGCCATCAGGAATGGAACGTAGTTGAGGATATATTGAGTAAGCAGTCGCGGGCAGCCGACAAGGGGTGGTCATCCAGCTTGGGAGTTGGGTGTGGGGCTTACGCGTATACTAAAATCAGGGATACTCATACAAACGAACATTCTCTTTGATATGATATGGACCGTATAGAGAACGACGCGTCTAACAATTCTTCTATTGTTGCATTTATTTGTTGTCGCCGAAATATGTTTACCGAGCCGTTTCCTAGCATAAATACGGGATAGACATGGAGCCACACAGAATGATGGAAGAGATTTATGAACTACACCCTTGAGATGAGCTCAGATGCCATGATATACACAGAGATCGGTCGAGGAATCCCAAAATTGATGTGGAGAGGGGATTCACAGACACACTCTGGTGACCTGCGATGTCTACTTTTATGTTTCCAAAACAAGGAAAGTAGTCTAAAAATATATTTTAAAGAAATGGGATAAGTTCAGGGTATGGACCAGTGGCGGGGGCTTGTATGTGTAAAGATAAACCCGCCGGTTCCATAAAATGCTAGGAATTTCTTGTCTTCTCCAGAAGGGCCGGTGTACTTGGAGTTGCTTACCCGCTTAGCTTGCTGCCGGCGCGGTTGCACACGTGCACCAGCGTCATGACGACGAAAATGAAGGCGAAGTTGACGGCGCACGTGACGGCAATGACGAGTAGCACTTGGTTCGTGCTGTAGCACGCGTCATGGCTGGCGAGACGCCTCGAGTGTGGAGACGTTTGGTTGCCCTCCGCAGAGGGGCTCACCATCGTGGTGCTGACGTTCATCGGTGGCTCCAGTTTCCGCCTGTGCTTACCGTGATGTCGCACGGGATGCTGTGCCTTACCGTCCACGTCATGTCGCATGGACCTCAGACTTCTCTTCACCATGGTGGCGTTGAAGTCGCTGCGAGCAGGAGAGGAACAATTCGTTAGAAAAGATTGCAGTTTCAAAACTTCTCATTCTACGCACGAACTATCTCACTCAGAAATAATGACCATATCAGAGATAGCTCAGTCAATATAGCAAAGGTCTACGGGCTGGAAGGCCGGGTTTAATTCCCGGCAGGAATAAGCGATTTTTCTCTTCTCTACAGCGTCCAGCCCGGCTCTGAGGTTCACTCAACCTCCTTTCCATTCGGTTCAGGGTTTTCCTTTCCTGAATATAAAGCGGTGTGGGTGTGAAGCTGACCACTCACCTCCACCTAGTGTCGAAGGCAAGAATGGTGGAGCTATACTTTCACTTCTCCATCCGTCATTATGGTTTCATTATGTATATGGACAGATTTGGCTTTGTTTATTATATAAAGAGAAACGAAATGGTTATATGAAGTTCCGAAATTACGAGATTTCGGGTAACCATAACAACGAATTGGTGAGTGTTAACATGTTGCATGGACGTAACTTATGTAGCAAGAAACGTGCAGTCTTTCATTTTAGTGCATCGTGTCTATTCTGTGAATATTAATAATACTTGACTGTGGACGTGTGAAATGTAGTATGCTATATAAAGGAGACGGATACGATCAGTTATGATTCCGTGTTATTCGTGGGAGACTGTTAATCACCGGCATCGATGTATCATTATATATATATATAAAGTAAGGAACTGGAAAATAACAGACGAGAAAGTAGATATATAAAAAAAGGTAAAGCTATCCCTGTAACAGGCCGTGGGAGCCCATAGGGTTGTGAGACGTATAGGCTCCCACATTTTCTAGAAAATCGGCTAACAGATGGCAGTAAGGTTGTCAGTCATATGCGTCGGCCTCTCTTTATCCCCCAGCAAGATACCTGGTACTAATTTCTGTTAGAAGCTGAGTCGACCCTAGGACCATAATGAGGCTGGAAGGATTGGGCCAATTGAAAAGAAACAATGACCTCATAGGGAATCGAACCCGCGACCTTCCACGCTTGTAACATAGCGCATCAAGCAACTACGCTACTGCGTGCCTCCATTTTATAAGATTACAGCTATATGCCCTCTAGTATAATTAATTGCCCTGGACCAAACACCTTTCGAGAACGTGACAGTCTCTGAGCTGGACAACATATGCCCCCCTCTTTATGAGGTGCAGGGTTATCTTGCTGCAGATCCCCGGCTTCCTCTCGCATAATCCCAAGTCTTAATATAGGCCCACTCAATCTTAATCTTGAAAAGGGATAGACGAATGGTTGCTTCAACCTCGAAGAAAGAGCCCCAGGAACCTACCGAATATTAGGCTGGGTGGGTCACAGAGCAGGTACTGACGATGTCAATGAGAGAAGTACTTCTTGCCCTTGCTGGCGATCGAACCCCAAATCTGTCAAACAGCCTAGCAGCTGTAACGACTGGAAAGCCGCTTCGGAAGAATCTCCAATCCAGGAGATTCCCTTGCGACAAGAGACCATGTTATGCACACCCATGAATATTGAAATCTCAGGCTTGCACCGTGCACGGTTAGGGCGCTGCAACATGTCGGTGCAAGGCTTGCAAGTGACGAAGACATTCCATCTCTGCCCTTTGTTTTCCTGTCTGTGAACAACGTGGATTACCATAATAAGGGCTCAAAATCCTGATGTTGGGGGAGATTTAACATCGTGACGCACGCTGGCAGGCAAGTGGCACAGAAAGGATGCATGTTAGGGAAGTCGGGTCTCTGGTTACGTCTCCCAAATTACATAACCGCATTCCGTGGAGTCTGCTTCTTTTTTACAGTTAAATTTACAGACCTCTTGGGATAGCGAAGCCGGTACGACTTTCTACGGGTTGGACGAGTTCGAGTTCCGGTAGGGTCAAGAATTTTCTCTTTTACATGTCGTTCAGGCCCATAGGGTTGTGAGAAGTTGAGGCCCCCACAACGTCTAGACAATCGGCTCACAGATGGCGGTAAGGTTGTCAGCCTTACGCGCCGGTCGCCTTTTACCCCTCAGGAAGATTCCTGGTACTCATTTCTGTCAGTGGCTGAGTTGGCCCTAGGTCCATAGTGCGGCTGGAAGTATTAGGTCAATTGAAAAGAAATCCACCTCATCGATACTCGAACCCGCGACCGTCCAGCTTGTAGCGTAGACCCGATGGGCCTTCACGGTTTGTTACAGGGATAAATTTACCTTACATTTTTTAACTTTTATGTCAAGGCCGGCTCTGGGGTCCACCCAACCTCATACCCAAATGAAACCAGGGGCTCTTTCCCCAGGGATAAAGCGGCCAGGGCATGAAGCTGACCACTCACTTCCAGCTAGTGCCGAGGTCAAGAAAATGTGGATCTATATATCCACCACCCATACGACTTCAAGATGCACTGCTTAATTAGTTAAGCACAGGGACAACTTTACCTTTTACCTTGGTAACTACGTCATATAGCACTGAATGGTAAGATTATAGATAAATGATTAATTGAAAAAATAGCGATCGTGGTGTAAATGGAGGTACAATACCGGAATTTGCCGAGAAGGACTGAGGAAAATCATGATAGTCGGTGTGCCGGCTCGTACTGAACCCAAGAGCCTTCCGAATACGACTACAGAGCCGTTACCGTTACGCGAACGCGCTCCGTGGCATGGAATTTGGGGTTGCACTGAAGCAGTAAGTTTCTTGGCCAGGTAAACGAAGTTCCTACCGATGAAGATGGATGAACGGTCTGGTTCTCTCTGCGTCATGCAGCTTCGTGGCGGCACACTTAAGTCTTAAGTTGAAGGAACAAAGGAGAAGAGGTCAGGAGATCGGGCGGCTTCCCATATAGAAAAAGTTTTAGTTTTACTTGAGTACAAATGTTTCGCATTCCAATTCTCTTAATCTCATTCTCCAGCTTTCATCTGTTTTTCTTCTATCTCTAATCCCTCTCATACTCTCCATTTTACCTCTATCTTCTCCTCCATTTATATTAACATTTTATTGCTTATTTGTTCAGTGCAATACCTCTGTTTTCGGGCTCCCATCGCGGCTTCACTCAGTTCTGCTTATAACATCCTGGAACGGACCGCACAGAAAACACCGTTCCTGTGTTGGTGTTTATGGGCCGCTTCCTAGTAACAGCCGTTGTATACTTGTCTGTTCCGCAATTGTTGCCTAGCAACGGGTCTACTACTATCCCTACTGTTACATTTAACATTTCTAAGTCTACGCCTTATAATTCTTCTCTTACTTCTCCTATTTCTATCCATATCCTTTATCATGCGCCTACTCTAGGGCTTATCTCCTTCTTCCTGCCCTTATTACTATTGTTTCTGCTGCTGCTTCTTTTCCCTGTCTCCTTCTGTTATTCCTCTGTCCCAACTTTCTGTCCCTTAATCTTATTCTTCCTGACTTTCTTTCCTCCGTCAACTTTTCCTTCCTCCATTACATGATCTGCAAAGTATCTTAAAGGAATAATGGTTGTGGCATGAATACGTTCTGTGACTACATTTATACTCTTTGCGGGTTTCCACGAATAGCGTAGTAATATAAATACACATAAATCCAGCTACGTAAGGATACGAGAATGAACCATTGTGGATTAATTTATCTCGGGACGTCCAAATCTGTTCCCTCAGCTTCTCCCAGACAGACAGACAGACAGACAGACATATTTCCCTGTCTTGCAGCCATTAATTCGGCAGGAACCAGCCGCAGTAGCGTAATGAAAACCGAGTTTTATTTATTTAAGTTTCCAGCATATGTCTGTGCCTCCGTCTGGAAGCTCCACGTTATGCAAATGCTCCTCGCCTTATCCTGCAAGCGGAGAGCTTTATACACGTATTTCTGTTAATTGCTTTTCATTCACTTCAGCAACGAAATTTTCTGCGTCTCAGGTATTGAGATGACGTGTTCAGTTCGTACACCATCTGCAACATTGATTTCTTGCTTATCTAACGATGCCCTCTAGGCACATGTACGTTTCTGTTATATGCCACCGCCCGTCTCTTTGTTCGTATGGAACAACTCGAGAATCGCTGAATAGATATTCATAAAATTTGGCATTGGGAAAGTATAATTTTCCTTGTAGATTTCAATGAGTTTGAAATTTAGTCTCACATATAAAAGTGAGAACACAGACTGATGGTGTTTGAGAGAAGGGTGCTGAGGAGTATATTGGACCTAAGGGGAACAAATGACGTACGGATAGAGAAAATTGTCTTTGTTCTACAGATCCTGTCCCTCCATTTGCGCTTCTCCTTCTCCACTACTTTCTCTACCCCTCCTCCTTCTCCATGAGGAAGTAGAAATGACGTGGGAGAGAACATTAATAAATTGGCTCAAATCCAGAGACTCCTCCGATATGTGAGTTTCGATGTTCTCACTGCAGCGACTGGGATGGGCTTGCTGTCTTAACGGATGTGTTGCTATGTACTGTGCTAGTTTCTTACCAACTTGCTGCCCCCATCTTCAGGGCAGAAAAATCGAGGGTGGAAAAAATTGTCGTGAATTCCCTCTACCTCATACTGGTCCACTCAGAGCCATAACTAACTAAAGGGATCTTAACCCTTCTTGAGAAGCTACCAGTTGTGCAGCTATTTAAAGACTTCCCAAAATTTAATGGAACCCGAAGGTTCATTACCGGGTTCACAAGAGCGCTCCACTGGTCCTTATCCTGAGCCAGATCGATCCAGTCCATACCACCCATCCTATCTTTCTAAAACCCATTTTAGTATTGTCCACCCACCCATATCTTGGTCTTCCTAGTGGTCTCTTTCCTTCTGTCTTTCCCAACNCGTTGCTATGTACTGTGCTAGTTTCTTACCAACTTGCTGCCCCCATCTTCAGGGCAGAAAAATCGAGGGTGGAAAAAATTGTCGTGAATTCCCTCTACCTCATACTGGTCCACTCAGAGCCATAACTAACTAAAGGGATCTTAACCCTTCTTGAGAAGCTACCAGTTGTGCAGCTATTTAAAGACTTCCCAAAATTTAATGGAACCCGAAGGTTCATTACCGGGTTCACAAGAGCGC